AATTATCTGGGTACCCGTGGACCAGTGATGTTACACATACAGTTAGCCACCACAAGTACACCCCTTGTCAACTTGGCATCCATATGCATCTTTTTAAACCATACTTAATCTCCAAATAAAAATATAGGATGATCACAACCCTGTCTAATATGATACAACTACCCTGTGTACAGCCAGAAATGCACTAACTCCTTCTCCAGAAGAGGAGGTAAAGTCCTTGAGTGATGTTTAGTCTTCTCCTTAATATCTCATAACTTAATACTATGAGATAAAAATAACATTATTCAAGTACTACTATATAAAACACTACATCTAATCTTATATGATAAAGGAATAAGGCAGGAAAGAAAAGACAGACAGATGATAGGTAGATAGATATAGATGGATGTATATAAACTATATGCATACAGTGAATCATACAAACATATTTATAAGAAAACAAAAGAATTACAGTCCTTATTTCTGTAGTTTGTCGTGAGGATGAAGCTGATATTTGTAACTATCTTTTTTCGCTACCCATTCTGTATTCCCTTTGCTTTCAGCAAGCACCAGAGCTGGTCATGATTCTTACCTGGTGGAGTTGCCTAAGTCTTCATTCTTGAAGGCCTTTGGGCATTAGTAGTCCTCCCTTGTATTGGGTTGCTGCTATTTTTTATTGTTTTAATCACAGAGCAGACTAATACTAAGAGACACCCTAATAGAGCTCCTGTGTTCTACAAATGCTCATCCGTACCTCCGTTGTGGAGTGATACCCCAGTGTTCCCGTGGTAGTCAGGATCAATCACTCCAGTAATACAATAACTCCCTCTTTTGTTTGTCTATTCAGAGACATGAGATGTCCAAAGTAATCAGGTAGCAGTCTTAAGTTTTAGTTCAATGAAATCATTGCTGTGTTTCCTGGTAGAGTCATTTTTTTCTTTAGAACTAAGAACTCTAGTGCAGCAGAGCATAAGGTCATGGGAGCAGGAAGCAAAAATTTTGCAGTGGGGTACTAAGGGCAATAGTGAATGGCGTCACTTGCCTTTCCACACCTTGATTCCTGGGCCCATGAATCTTGACTCTGGTAGAAACAGCAGGATACATTGGGTGCAGATTCAGAGCATATCCAGCCTTCTGGAGAGCCATGTCAATCTCTGCAAAGACTGCCACCTAGCTGGCACTACAACTGAGTCTTTAAAAGTCCATTTCACATTTCTATCCAACCAGTGGCTTCAGGATGATGAGGAACATGGTAAGAACCAGGAATTCTATGAACATGGACCCAATGCCCCATTTCTTTTGTTGTGACGTGAGTTCCTTGATTAGAAGCAATGCTGTGTAGAATACCATGACAGTACAGAAGGCATTGTATTAGTCCACAGGTGGTAGTTTTGGTAGAAGCTTTGCATGTAGGGAAGCCAATTTCATATATAGAGTGTCTATTCTATTATAGTAAGAGTGAAGCTCTTGCCATTTTCCATTCATAAAAATAATGGAATCAGTCCAATGTAATCGACTGTCATCAGGTAGCTGGCTCATTAGCCCAAGGGAGGGTGGCCATACTGGGGACCCAGTGTTGGTCTCTGCAGCTGGCAGATTAGGAACTCAATAGTAGCTATAGCCAGGTCATCCTTGGTGAGTGGAAGTTCATGTTGCTGAGCCCATACATCACTTCCATCCCTGCCACCGTGACCACCTTGCCTTTGGTGGTTTATTGCCAACACTCAGCCCTTGCCACTCTAGGATCCAAGGACTCCATTTGCATTTAGGCTTCCCAGTTCAGTGACTGGAGTCTCCCCTGTAAGATCTGGCCTACAAACCACAGAGCTCTTCTATTTTATTTCAAATAAATTCACATTTATTTCTCTCAGTAGTGGTGAAAGATATGTCTTTTGCATTCTTTCAGTGTGGGTGAGTAGGTTATAGATGACGAATCTAATCTTCCAGTCTTCCTAAGCCTTTAAGACCCTTATTCTACATCAAATTAAGTCAAGTCCAGCATTTCTAGTTCACTAACTGGTCATTTTTTGGTTCATGATTTAGCAAATCAACCAATTAGAGCCCTTCCAAAATTCCTGAACTGCAACATTAAATGAAGAGTCTCTGATTAGGGATCCAATATCAATAAATTTAGCCTGATCCAACTTTGTGTTCCTTCCACCATTATCCCACACTGTCAATATCCATTCCCAGATTCATATCGGTATAAATTAGAAAACTTAAGTAGTTTCTTGGAGTGTAGTGTAACTTCTCATGGATCTCACTTTGCACCTCATCTTTAGGGCCCTGCCGGAACTTGAATCTAGTTATAGGTCTAGAAGAAACGAGGAGTGACGTGGGTGGGTCCTGAAGGGAATTAACATTGTAGTACATGACAAGTCCTTGGGGGAAGCCTCTAATTTCCTTAGGTAATAAAGAGTTAATTCTTCCGAATGGAAGTGGAGGGGCCACTACCAGTTGTGAAAGAAGACTCATCAGTTAGGCCTCAACATCCCCAGCTTAATCAGGATCTTCCCATACATCCCCACTTAAACTTACAGGTTTCAAAAGGGGAAAGAAAACAAAATAAACACGTAGAATTCCAGTTGTCCCAATCAGTACCCTTCTGAACAGTAAACTCCCTCTGAGAATGTGAGTTCAATTTGCATTGTAATCCAGCCAACTGCAGGATGAGATCCTGCATTTGATTTTCAGCACCTTCAGCTGCTATAAGAGATAAGGGTGTCACTCAGAGCATGCATTGAAGATGTTAGGTCATGGATTTGGTGTTTAAACTGGGCATTTAAATTTCCGAGCTCATCCTTTTCTTTCAACACATTGTCCAGTGACAGTAGGAGCAACCAGCCAACTTCATTATATTTAATTTCCCAAAATGTTCTAAAGGGTCATATACACAGTCTTACAGCTTCTTGCTTCTTACAAGTGGTTGATCAGAAGTATCCAATGTAGTTATTTTGTGTATCTCTATTGCCAGATCACACCATGGACTATTAGTGCTCTTTTTACTACTGGCAATAGAGTCATTAGAATCTTTAAATCTACTCCAGTTAGGAGGTCAAATCCAGAAACCCAGTACAAATTTCAGAAAAGTTATTCATAAAATTCTGTTCCTCTACAACCACTCTCAGAGTCAAAATCTGAGGTAGTCTAGGTTCTTCAAAGAAAAAGAACCAATAGGATATATATGCAGATGCTCCTCTATTTACTGTGAGGTTACATCCTGAAAAATCCATTGTAAACTGAAATTATCACAAGTCAAAAATTTATTCAATACACATAACATACCAAACATTATAGCTTAGCCTAGCCTACCTGGAAAGTGCTCAGAACACTTACACTAGCCTATAATTAGGCAAAGTCATCTAAAACAAAACCTGTTTTATAATAAAGTATGAACTGTCTTATGCAATTTATTGAAAACTATATAGAGAGTGAAAAACAGAATGTATGAGAGAACTGTAAGTCAAAAAATGTAAGTTGAGGAGAGGCTCAGAGGCTCATGCCTGTAATCCCAGCACTTTGGGAGGCCACGGCGGGAGGATCACAAGGTCAGGAGATCAAGACCACCCTGGCTGACACAGTGAAACCCCATCTCTACTAAAAATACAAAAAATTAGCCCGGCGTGGTGGTGGGCACCTGTAGTTCCAGCTACTTGGGAGGTTAAGGCAGGAGAATTGCTTGAACCCGGGAGGTGGATGTTGCAGTGAGCAGAGGTAGCACCACTGTACTCCAGAGTGAGACTTCATCTCAAAAAATAGCCAATGTAAATTGAACCATCATAAGTTGAGATCCGTATATAGTATATATATTCATATATACTATATTACTCCATATATATGAGACATATATATACACTCCATATATAGTATATATCTCATATATGTATATATGAGAGAAAGAGAGAGGGAAAGGAAAAGAGAAAGGAGAGTTTTAGTATAAGAAATTAGCCCAGGCTATTATAAAGAACTGATTTGTCTCATAATTTAAGAGCAAGCTCCCCATTTTGTAACCTTTTAAATTACAAGCCTGTACTGTTATTCACTATTATGTCTGTGAACAATATTGTGAGAAAGTAAGTAAAAATAAGAGAATAATGTGTTAGATGAGTCAACATGAAAAGGCATGTTTTGTGGGTTGATACGTTTTAGTTGCCAAATTATAAAGCTCCTCAGCATAAAACGTTAAGAAAATAAAAATGTTATAATCATAATATAGACATATATACAGTGAAAAATTATATGCATACAAGCATCCAATGAATTTGGAGAGAAAAATACAGAATTATTGCTTTCCTGAAGCTTAATATTCCAATTAGAATTTTAAAAATGTGTTCTGGGACAGAAGTCTTACAGGAAAATGAAAGTTTTCAAACTTTACTACATTAATTTCCTTGCTGTGGGACTTAATCTGTCATCTGTAAAATGTAAATAATTATATTGCTGTGAGGATAAGAAATAATACATGTGAAATACTTGGCATTTCTCATTGCAGAGAGTAGATCATCAGTGGTCAGAATGTTATTTTTTAAATGTTTTTTCATTTTTCTATGCTTTTCATTTTGGAGCATAAAATGATGGTTGTGGTGGTAAAGCAGTCACAAACCAACTTACTGCATTCATTTAGATACTAGTTTCAGTTAGATAACTTTTTCAGAGACAATTTTGTAATTCAGTTACAGTATTCTCCAAAATATTTTATGAAATAATGTGAATTTCAAAATTCTGTGTATATGGAAAATATTAACAGCTGCTTCAATTCATCCCGTTACTCAACTGTACTTAAACCTGAGAAAGGGAATATGGAGAAGGAGAAAGAATCTCAAGCCAGCCATTTTTTTTCTTATTAGAAACTATATGAGAAGTTTAGATAAATGAGGAATTAGAACTCACGATTAGAACGCAGCCAACTATATTTTATTAATGAGTCTGGTTAAGGAAGCACAAGGGTCAAAAAGAAAGATTTTTAACTTTGTCCTGAACTATTTATAAATTTAATCTTGATTTTTTTTATTTCCTTGTAGATTCCTTTTGCAATAAAAACGACACCAGGTGCCTCTCAAATTCTTGCCAAAACAATTCTACATGCAAGGGTTTTTCAAAAGACAATGATTGCTCTTGTTCAGACACAACCAATAACTTGGACAAAGACTGTGACAACATGAAAGACCCTTGCTTCTCCAATCCCTGTCAAGGAAGTGCCACTTGTGTGAACATCCCAGGAGAAAGGAGCTTTCTGTGCAAATGTCCTCCTGGGTACAGTGGAACAAGCTGTGAAACTACCACTGGTTCCTGTGGCACGAACTCCTGCCAACATGGAGGTATTTGCCATCAGGACCCTATTTATCCTGTCTGCATCTGCCCTGCGGGATATGCTGGACGATTCTGTGAGATAGATCATGATGAGTGTGCTTCCAGCCCTTGCCAAAATGGGGCTGTGTGCCAGGATGGAACTGATGGCTACTCCTGCTTCTGTGTCCCAGGATATCAAGGCAGGCACTGTGACTTGGAAGTAAATGAATGTGCTTCTGATCCCTGCAAGAATGAGGCTACATGCCTCAATGAAATAGGAAGATATACTTGTATCTGTCCCCACGATTATTCTGGTAAGTGTCATCATATCTGAATCCTAGATGGTGTAATTAGCTCTCTCTAAGTGGCAGAAGCAGAGGTTTATGAAAATGGCCAAGTTCTTGACAGGAATCAATTACTAGATAGAAACTTCCTAAACAATTGAAAATACACTGAATGCACTGAATTCTAAGTGGTTGCCTACCATCACTGTTGTTGTTTTAAATGGGCTCTACATGATTTAAAACAGGGATTTGGTCTGGAATAAGTGGGCGCCAAGAGAAGCTCGAAGACAGTTCAGGTTTCCTCATCAGTGCATCTTCCTTTCACGACAGTTCAAGCCTGCCTTCCAATCCCCAAAGCCAGCATCGCAACCTTCTGGGAAGGCAGGTTGGAAATTGATGGGTTTCTAGTTCCGATTTGGGTATGATCAACAGATCACTGATAGCAAAGGTGATGGAGCATGGTATGTCGGATAAATCATGATTTTTATTAAGAAAACAGCCTGTTCTTAATTTATGTCTTAGAGCAAACAATTTACCTCATATTTATCTATTCTTTACAAAGTTTCTGTTGATAGAATTTTATTTTAATAGTAGAGTAACAAGGTGACAGCTCATTATTACCGGGTTATGTGCTATTCAGCCTCCTCGCACTCAGTATTTATCCTCCCTAGCCTTTTGAATCACTGTTACTGTTTTAGGTCAGTTCTTCATGCTGGCCACATTTCTTGCTATGCTTTACTCTTGGGCTATTCCATTTACTTGTAAGGGGGTAACTTACCTAGTCTATGCTTTCTCACATGCATTCATTCTAACTTCTGCTCACCACTCTTACAGTTCCTGACTCAGATCTCCAAGACACCACTCACATTTTAATATCGTTTTCCCTTAGCTCATGCCACTTTTGTACCTCCCTGAAAGCTTTCCTGAGGCTTTCAGCTTTTAAATTGCCTTCTTCTCCCAACACTTTCATGCTTAGCTCTTTATTTTGTCATTTTTATTATTTTCCAAGTATTTTATTATTTTGTCACTTTGTTATTTTCCAAGTGTTACGCAATATAACTATTTGGAAAATATTTCTCTTCAAAATTTGCCCCAGAACCCTCCAGCATCTTTTTGCTTTTAAACATTCTAAAACTATATATTTTATAAAATAGACATATCCCTGGTTGCTCTAAAATGAAATTTTTCCCTTCTCCCTCCTCCCTTACATACAACCAATCTTCAGAATCTGCTGTTTTGGCATGTAAGACGTGTTCCAAATTGAGCTCACCAATTTATTTCTTGGTTTGGGTTTATTTTAACTCTCGTGCATGCTACTAAACAGCCTCCCAAACTTTCTTCTTATAGCTTCTACCTTCTCAAAGTTGTTCTGAACACTGCCTTTGAAATAACTTTTATTTCCCACTTATAAAACAGACCGATACCACAGTTGTGGAGAGCCTTGGAGTGTCCCACTACACAGAAAACAATTTTAGCCTCTCCCTGAAAGCCTTTCACAATGTGGGCCCATGACAGTGGTCACGTCTTCACACATCATTCCACCAAAGCCTTCTATTTACTCTAATAAATCTCCTTCATTTCTTATGCAAGTGATTTCCTTCCCCCGGAATGTCTTTCCCCCCTTCACAATGTCTACTCTGAAGTTCTCCTATACTTTTTAACGTCTAGTTCAAATATCACGTAACGCAAGAAGTATTTCCAGGTTCCTTTCCAGCTGGAAGAATGGTTTCACACTGCTGCAGTAATGATACTCATTATGTCCATACTAGTTGACACCTGTATTAAGGAACTCCCCATAATTCTTTCCTATATTACAGATATCTATGTTTTCACCACCCCCCCAAATGTTACTTCCTAAAGGGCAAAAGTACTGTTTTTATATTTATTCTTTAATTCATCAATACTTTCTGAACTTCTATTAGGTGTCAGTTAGTGGATTAAGAAGAGGAGGCCCTCTTCCTCTAAAAGCCTGGCTCAGTGTTTGTGAGTAATAGCTGCTTAATCAACTGTTACTAAATTGTTCTGAGTTTTAAAATTCTTCCATCTATTTCTGGGTACCCTTCCCCATCATGAAACTCAGGTAAATTAATATTAAATAAGAATTCACTTTCTGCGTTACTTTATGTATACTCTGTCATGGTAGAATACTTGTGTCAAATGGAAAATCATTTTATCAAGTGACTTTTAATTGTCAATCCTATGCTAAAAGTTACAGGAAATATTACAAGAGCTTATAAAACAATAGTTATATGAAAAACTTCTTGTTTTTATGCCATATTGAAGTGTCTCGTTTCTTTGGTGAGAGTTATGGCAAGTGAATTTCAATTTTTTTTTTTTGAGTAAAATTAAGAATTTTTTTCTGGGGCTGGCTTGGAATTGTTTTGTTTACAATGGTCACATTAAAAAATCAATATAGTTCATTAAGATAGTGTCTTCCATTTTCTGCTTCCATTTCAATATTGTGAATGGTGATTAAAAGGCATAGATGTGAAATCAAATTAATGTTTCATTCATTCCAACTATAGCATTCTGTAATAGCTTTATATTTGTAAAAAACACAACTTGAAAACTATATTTTACAATGTATGTTTTTAAAATATCTTAATTTAATTGCCTTTTAATGAATCCTTTCAGTGGTCTAAATTTAGGCATAAAAGATAGAAAGGATATATTCTAAATGTGAAATGTAGTCAAATTCCATCATAAGGCACTTCACCCTACAGTGAATTCATTTACACTGTGGGTCGTACCACATCCCTGCAGGGTCCGACAGGAATGGACCTCCTTTTCTCACTATAACACTTAGGTCCACAATGAGGATGCTTTCCTTGTCAATCCCTGATATAATAGTGTTGTTCCCTATTTGACTATTTTCTTCCCTTGTTTTCTATGAAATCAGCTAAATTTTATTTGAAATAATAAAAGTGACATATATAAAACTTTCTTCCAAACAGAATTTAAACGAGAGACTCATAAGACAGATAAAAATCAGGTCTATTATTAGCTGCTTAGGCTTGTTCAGGTTAAAAAAAAATGCAGTCATAGGCTTGCTCACCAATCTCCCACACAAATAGAATGGCGTGTGTTCTGGTAGCTCATTGGTGTTTCTCAGCCTTGACTAGTCATTAGCAATTTCTCAGGGAGATCTAAAACAGAGGTGTTCAGACTCTACTTTCAGAAGGTCAAATTTAATTGATGAGTCTAATGTATAGCTAGGGCTGGTGGCCTAATATTAAGTCCCTGTGAACTTTATTTGGAAACTTTCCTTGCACTATACCATCATTTAGACACACACACAGAAAGGTTTGTTTATTTCGTTGCTATCCCATGACCACCTGTGTTTGTGGCAGCTCAGGCCAATTAATGAGAACCCCAAAGAAGGCCTATAGAACCAAGGGAAAGGCTGAATTTGGAAAGGAAAGAAAAAAGACCATCAGCTATCAGCATGGATGCGCTGGAGTGCTCTGCCTCAACTCAGATCTCCTGATGAATCCTGGAAACTGTATTACAATGACCTCGCTGCTGTGCACCACATCCAAATTTAGAGTGAGCATAAAGAACTCTTACAGAAAAAAAACCTGTGTTCCTCTGAGCAGCAAAATAAGAAAAGGTAATAAATTTTAAAAGGCAGAGAGGTAGAAGGGGAAAAAGAGCTGCAGCACATGGAGAGGGTTCACACTGCATGAATTCTCCTCTGTGCATTCCATTATGCTTCATGAGCAGTGATTCATGAACTATAGAAATGGGCTCACAGAGAGCCACTGAAGAAGCTGGTGAGAATCTGCTGTGCATAAGCAAAAATGCCAACTGAAGCTGAAAGTAAGTGGATGCAAACTTTTTTAATGAACAGAATATTAGCTCTAAGCATGTGACTGCTTTTAGTTCAAGTTTATGCAATGAATCATTTCATAATTGAGGTCTTCTTTAAAATTAGCCAGATTGATTAATGTACATTTTTTACATTGAGATGCCTGCAGTATGAGAAAAATAGAGCTGTAAGAGGGCAGAGAAAGGCCAGTTCGATCTATGTTGAAGCAAATCAGTGTAGGAAAATACCTTACTTCCTCTATTATAAAATAGACCTTTGGCATAGAAATAATCTTTTGGGATATAAGAAAATGCACTATATTCAATGCATTTTTCATTTGTATGATGAATTTTATTGTGGAAATAAAAATGTGTAAAAATTCATTATATATCAAGGAAATGTATTAGTACTTACAGAGTAGTTAGAAGACTAGTTAGTTCATGGAGACTAGTTAGGAGGCCATTGCGATAACCCAGGTGTAAGATTTGAGGACCCAGCCTGAGAGAATTACCATGGGCATGAAAGGAAAGGGAAGGTATAATGTCACTAGAAACAAGACTCACTTAACATTTATCAAGGTCAGAATATTTTCAAACTTATTTTACCCAAGGAAAGCTTGAAATATCTAATATGAAAAAATGCATTAAAAGTTTAACTGCTATTTTCAACTTAATAAGCTTATAATGTAGATCAATGGGTCTCAAGTGTTGACATGCATCAGACTCACCTGTACAGCTTATCATTAAAATACAGTTTTTAATTCAACAGATCTAAGGTGAGGTCCAAGAATATGCATTTAAAACAAATTCCCAAGTGATGCTGATGCTGTTAATTTGGACACTACACTTTGAGATCTGCTCACCAATGCAATAGTATTAGGAGATGGGGACTAAGAGGAGGTATTTAGGTCATGAGGACGGAAGCTTCATGAATAGATTAATGCCGTATAAAAAGGGCTTCTGGGAGTGGGTTTACCCCTTTCACTCTTCTGCCATCTAAGGAACAATGTTCCTATCCTCTAGAGGAGGCAGCCTTCAAGGCACCATCTTGGATGTGGGACTTTACCAGACACCAAACCTATTAGCACCTTGATCTTGGTCTTTTAAGCACCCAGAGCTGTGAGAAATAAATTTCTGTTCTTTGTAAATTATCCAATCTCATGTATTCTGTTATAGCAGCACAAGATGGACTATAAGACACATGATAGGGATTTTTAAAATAC